GCAGTTCAAAGCCAGCCCGGGCAGGAGAGACCGTGAGACTCCTATCTCCAATAAACCACCAGAAAACCGGAAGTGGCGCTGTAGCTCAAGTGGTAGAGCTCTCGCCTTGAGCTGAAGAGCTGAGGGACAGCGCCCAGGCCCAGAGTTCAGGCCCCACGACCAACAACAAAAAAAAGAGAACATGAAATTGTACACCAAAGAATAAAAAAAAATTGATTCTGCAAATCATTGTAGTCTCTGAATGCTTTCACTGTCAGAAATTAATGTCTCAATAAAAACTAGCTGAAGCAATATAGAACTTTGTTTTCCCCTAAATGTCAGCCCAAGAACCAAGGTAGTCCCAGATGTGTTGCAATCTGCTTTATTACTACTACTACTACTAATGATAATAATCTTTGTGTGGGTCCTAGGTCCTGAACTAAGGGCTTGAGGACTGCCCCTTAGCTTCTTTGCTCAAAGCTGGTTGGTGCTTCAACACTTGCTCCACTTTTGGCTTTTGGGTTATTGTTGTTTGGGTTTTTTGCTGGGTAATTGGAGATAAGAGTCTCACAACTTTCCTGCACAGGCTGCCTTTGAAGTAGATCCTTAGCTCTCAGCTTCCTGATTAGCTAAGATTACAGGCATAAGCCACTGGCACCTAGCTTAGCTTTGTTATTTAAATTTGTATTCTTACTTTTTATTTTTGCCAGTTCCAGGGCTTGAACTCTGGGTCTGGGTGCTGTCCTGAGCTCCTTTAGCTCAAGGCTACTCTCCTACTTTGAGCCACAGCTCCACGTCCAGCCTTTTCTATGGTTCTTTGGAGATAAGAGTTTCATAGACTTTCCTGCCTAGGCTGGCTTCAAACCATGAACTTCAGATTTCAAAATCTTTTGAGATAGAGTTTTGCTAAGTAGCCTAGGCTAGCTAGCCTCAAACGTGTGATCCTACCGCCTGGCTTTCCTAAACATGGGGGTTGCAAGCATGTACCACCCCACCTGGCTGCACTCCGCTTCCGTTGATTTCCATGTGTGGAATAACAGCACTGAGATCTTCCAGAGGTGAGTTCTAACCCAGCCAGAGCTCAGGGTGACCCCTCCATGCATGAAACTGCACCCTCAGAAACCATCTCCTGGTGCTCGTGTGAGAACAGCTTGGAGATATTGAGGAGCCAAGAGTGACTCAGCGTGGTGGCTGGCAGGCTGACAGCGCTGCGGGCTGGCCTGGCCCACGCGTCCTGTGTGGGCGCTGATGATGGAGAGGCGTTCCCCCGAGGCTTTCCCCAGTGGGTTTGGCCAGGACGGTGACACAGCTAGGCAGCGCCAGTGCGCCCCAAGCTCGGTCTGCTGGGGCCGAGCACAGCCTTGACATAGGGCGTGAGGAAGGCACTCATCCTCCTGGGGAGACAGCAAGGCCCGTCCCGCGGTGGGGGGGCTCCTCCCGCGCCTGCAGAGAACAGCAGCCATAACACAGCAGCTGGCCTGGGCTGGCCCGTGGGCCTGAGCATCGCGTGCAGTCGGGTCAGTGGAGTTCATGACCTCACCCCAGGGGCGCCTGACACACCTGCCCACACCTTCCACGCGGGTGTGAAAGCTCAGCCGTGTGCCAGCACCCCACGCAAAAGGATTATTCCATCAATGCAACCGACAACACTCAGCCCTAGCTGCTCACTAGATCAACCAGGGAGCTGTCTACACCGCTGGCTATAGAGTGGGGCTTGCTTCTGGAGCTTAAATTCACACACACACACACACACACACACACGTGCATGTGTTACACACATATGTTCATATATACATGTAAATGTATATAGCTCACATGCATATCTATTCATAGATATATGTCTATGTGTATATATGTATGCACATGTATATCATATATCTTGCATGAATATGAATATTCATATATATAAGAATTCAAATACATATTCACATATTTGTATGAACGTATGTGGGTGTGAATTTATATATATATGAATTTAATCTCCTGATTAAATAATATATAATAATATAATATATATGCATAATACTACAAATAGATAAATACACATAAGTTTTTGTTGGTAGTGGTGGTTGTAGGGCTTGAACTCTGGGCCTGACATTGCCTCTCAGCTCTTCAGCTCAAGGCTAGTACCCTGCCACTTGAACCACAGCGCCACTTCTGGTTTTCTGGTCGTTAATTGGAGATAAGAGTCTCACGGACTTTCCTGCCAGGGCTGACTTTGAACTGTGATCCTCCTTTCTCAGCCTCCTGAGTAGCTAGGATTACAGGCGTGATCCACTGGTGCCCAGATGAAATAGGTTCTTGTTCTGTGGTCCCAGCTGGCCCGGTACTCATTATGTAGCCCAGCCTGACCTTTAAACTCTTAATCTTCCTGCTTCAGCCTCCTGAATGCTGTGATTACAGGTATGGGACACCACTCCTAACATTCAGGCTGTTATTTTTAAGTAGACAGTTCAGTGGTGTTAATATACTCTGGCATCCTCACCCCACCCATACCCAGAGCTCTTTCCATCTTGTAAAACTGAACCCCTCTCCTCATTCAACAGCTCCTCAAGCCCTCCTTCCCCTCACCCCTGGCTGTCACCATTAACACCTCTCTCTCTCTCTCTCTCTCTCTCTCTCTCTCTCTCTCTCTCTCTCTCTCTCTGTTGGTGTCGGGCTTGAACTCTGGGCCTGGGCGCTATCCCTGAATTCTTCAGCTCAAGGCAAGCACTCTACCATTTGAGCCAAAGTGCCACTTCGAGTTTTCTGTTAGTTCATTGGAGATAAGAGTCTCACAAGGACTTTCCTGTACTGGCTGGCTTTGAACCACAATCCTCAGATCTCAGCTTCCTGAATAGTTAGGATTACAGGCGTGAGCCACTGGCACCCAGCTGGCTTTCTGTCTCTTAATATGACTCCTCAAGATTCGTTATACAAAGAGATGAATCCAACATTTGTCATTTCATGACAGACCTATTTCACCTAACAGTATATCAATATGTATTTATGTTGTAGTATGCATCATAATGCCCTTCCTTTTTAAAGGCCGAATAATATTCCCTTGTCCTTATCTGTTACATATTGCTCACCATTCATTCATTCATGGCTATGTGCTTGGGTTGCTTCTACGTTTTGGCTGGTGTGTGCAAGGCTGCTATGAACTCGGGGTCTGCAAATACCTCCAGAGGTATTTCTAGGCGAGTCCCATGGGATCTGAATAGGCTGATAGCATTCTAAGCGGCGGTGGCTCCCTGGAGACTGGAGAGTGTGGGAGGAGACAGGTCACCTGACTTGGCTCAGTCCAGCCGTTCCCTACTCATAGCACTCAGCACATACAATTCTCCGTGGCTCCCTGCCTCCACCCACGGCATGGACACCCAGGACAGGATGCGCTTGCTTCCCTCCATTATCATCTTCCAGGTCTGGCTGCCAGCCTGGCCCCACAGGAGATGACCAAGCTGCTGCTGAATAGAGGAGATGACTAACTGAGGAAATTACCCTCTACCACTTGTGGCAAGCAACCATTTTCTCTGCCACTGGAAATCATGGACCAGTATATCTCCAGCCAGGCTGGCTCTACCCTGAGTCATGACCACCAAGGGGTGTGTGTGTGTGTGTGTGTGTGTGTGTGTGTGTGTGTTGGGACTGGGGCTTGGACTGAAGGCTTAGACACTGTTCCTGAGCTTTTTCTTTCTTCTTTTTTTTTTTTTTGTCAGTCAGCTCTTCAGCTCAAGGCTAGCGCTCTACCACTTGAGCCACAGTGCCACTTCCGGCTTTTTCTGTTTATGTGGTACTGAAGAATTGAACCCAGGGCCTCATGCATGTGAGGCAAGCACTCTACCACTGAGCCACCTTCTCATCCCCGTGTTCCTGAGCTTTTTCGATCGAAGCTGGAGCTCTACCACTTGAGCCACAGCTCCACTTCTGGCTTTTTGGCAGTTGGTAAATTGGAGGTAAGAGTCTCCTGGACTTTCCTGCCTGGGCTGGCTTCAAACTACAGTGCTCAGATCTCAGCCTCCTGAGAAGCTAGGATTACAGACATGAGCTACAGGCACCAGGCTCCAAGATCTTGATGAGAGACAATTGTGTGTGTGCAGGAAAGCCTGGGCGCCAACAGTAGATTAGGACAAGGTGGTGAGGGTGGCTGTGGGGCCTTCCTTCTGTCTCTCCTGGTCAAAGTCTCCAAAAACAGTGGCCTCAAACTTTCTACCTCCACTCACTGAGTTATTAGCAATACAGGAACACACGGTGCTTTTCTTTACTATTTCATCACTATTATTATGCATGCACCCTAATGTAATAACTGCTTAACTCAGTGACCTGAGGAAAACTCTAATTAAATACACAAACAAAATTTTTGAGACAGAGTCTTGGCTGACCCTGAAATCTCTACTCCTCTGTCTCCACTCACTAAATAGCCAGGATTTCAGGTGTCTGCAACTGTACCAGCTGGCAAATACATTTATAAATAAGCAAAAGGAGTCACACACCGATCCAATGTTACTCAGAGATCTTCCCCTCTCTCATCTTACCAGGACTGTGTGCATCCCTGTGTAGATTCTGCTGAGACACACCAAGGTGGAGACCAGCACAGCCGTCATCAGTCCCAAAAGGAAAGGGTACTTGGGAAGAAGAAAGAAAAAAGATCATGAGATCACCTGCACATGGGTATGAATTGAGGTCCTAGTTGAGAATTCACTGGGCCAGAATCACTAGTTTAGACATCTTACACCAACAATCTGATCAACCTGAAAATATTTTAAAAGTAGACAAAAAAAAAAAGAAGAAAGAGGTAGGGAGAAGATGGAGAGGAATACAGTACTGGGAAGAAGTTTCTCTGGTTGTAATATAAATTAACACACAGAACTTGGCTTTCAGACTTAGGATTATAACTCTTAGGATAGTAACTTGGGCAAAAACAAATTATGAGCCATCCCCACCATCTCAATCAATAAAGCTGGGCACAGTGGTAGACACCTGTCATCCCAGCTCCTTAGAAACATAAATTGGAGGATTTGGGTCCAGACAATCCTGGGCTTACTTAGGAGACCCTATTTGAAATATAACCAAAGCAAAAGAGACCAGGGGCATGGCTCAAATGGTACAGTGCCTGCCTAGTAAGTGTGATCTGGGATCAAACTCAACAGAATAAATAACTAAATAAAGCAGAGCTTTATTTTAGTAATAAATTTTTAAAAAGATTTTACTCTAGTTTGCATCTAAGCAGGTATACAGCAAAATACTTCTATTTTCAGCATTTATTGATCCTCCGACATTGAGATAGTTCTGAGACAAAAATAAAGGAATCCTCATTTTTCAGTTGATCCCCTATCTCGGGCAGAGGCATTGTGGGAAGGTAATTTGGAGCATGGTCTTTTCTGCCTTGGGCATGGGGAGTCTGGCAGAGACGGAATGGAATCAAGGAAGCTTGGTCGTTTCTAGGCCTCAGCTCAGAAACCCTTGGTGCGGCTTGCAAAGCAGGACAAGTTTTGACTTCTGTCTGTCCAGGTGGTAGCTGGGGTATATTTTTCCCAGGAGGGGACAATGCCCCAGGCTCCTGGGACCACCTGAGCTGTGTGTCTCATCCTGTGATGCTACAGATGGCCATTCCTGCTCAGGTACAACAAATGACATGCTTGCATACTTGTTTATTTACTATGTAGTGCCAGTGCTGGAGCTTGAACTTCAAAACCTTGTGCTCTGGTATAGCTTTTTAACTCTGTCATTTCAGCCCAGCTCTGCTTCCAGCTTTTTGCTGATTAGTTGGGAGATAAAAGTCTCTTAGATCTCAGCCTCCTGAGTAGCTAGGATTACAGGCGTGAGACACATTATTACCTGGCTGGATTGCTGCATTTCTGAGGAAACTGTGATCAGTGGGATTTAGGCCCCTGTGAGTCTTTCCTTTATAAACCTTCACATTCCTTGGAGCAGCTTTTGGAGCCATTTCTGAGCTGTAGCTCTGTTTGCCATCCTGGGACCGGGTAGTAGCACCCCTCCCAGAAGGAAGGACCCCCTTACCTGGTATCTGTCCATGGTAGTGATGAGGAAGGTGAAGGAGATGGCGGTGGCCGCCATGGCATGGGTGGATGGCATTCCGAATTCTGCCACAATTCTCTTTTCTAGTTGTACAACAGGAGGCGAGGCGGGTCGAGGCCACTTCAGGATGCTCTTGGCCACCTGGCCGACGTACATCACCAGCTGTAAAGCCACCAGCAGAGGTCAGTCCAGCCAAGTAAGGAAAGCAAGGGAGTCTCAATGCGCTAGATTTCCTTGGGGGCACCCAGTTTGTTGCTGACTTCCTTTCTCTCCCACTTACTAAGAAGTCTTGTAAGATGATGCTTTAGTTGGGAAAAAAGAGAATTTTGTTGTTGTCGTCATTGTTGTTGGTTATGGGGCTTGAACTCAGGGCCCAGGCACTGTCCCTGAGCCTCTTTGTGCCCATGCTGAGCCACAGCTCCACTTCTAGTGGTTAATTAGAGATAAGAGTCTCATGGGGACTTTTCTGCATAGGCTGGCTTTGAACCATAATCCTCAGATCTCAGCCTTCTGAGTAGCGGATTACAGTTGTGAGTCACTAGCTCCCAGCTTGAGATTTTTTTTTTATTTCATAGACAGAATCTCTGATCAATGAAGCAGCTGTGTTACCTACACATACTCTTCATAGAGGTGTCAGGCACTATTCCCAGGAGCTGACAGGAATGAACTGTCTTCGTTCAACAACACATGAAGACTGTGGACCCACTGTACAGATGGGTAAACTGAGGACAGTGCATGTGGAGGAGCTGGAATCAGGAGTCAGGAAGTTGGGCCTCTGAGATTGGGCTTTAACTGATCACGGGATGCTTCCCTCACACTAGGTTGGCCTTGCATTAAAGAGGGTGGACCCCAAAGTAAAGGCTCCTATGCAGATCTGCTTAAGCTGCCAATAAGCACCACGGAGACTCCTTACAACCAAAGAACATACCAGGTTTAACTGAACTGCATTCAGAAATCAGGAACATTGGGAAAATAAACTGCAGGGCTGCTTCCAAACCTATGAGAAAGACTAAAATTTGCTCAAACGAATCTGTGTGTGTGTGTGTGTGTGTGCGCGCCCTCCCGTGCGCACGCACATATACACATGCATGCCTGCCTGTCTGCCCATGCTGGGGTTGAACCCAGGAACTGAATGCTGTCCCTTAGCTTTATTGTTCAAGGCTACCACTTGAGCCACACCTCCATTTCCAGATTTTTGCTGGTTAATTGAAGATTAGGTTCTCACAAATTTTCCATGGATCCATGATCTTCAGATCTCAGTCCATTGAGTAGACTAGGATTACAGTTGTGAGCCAGCTGTTCAAATGAATTTACCATGAGGCCATTAATGAAGAACTGACTTCCCTTCTTTAAAACAAATAAACCATGTTAAAAACTCAGTATTTGATGTCATACTCCCTCCCCCCCCACAAATAGTACCATTCATTCAAACATGAACAGTGCATTCTCTCAGCAAAGCATTTATTGTTTCTAAGAGAGTTGCAGGGCCATCCATGGTTGATGAAGGAGAAAAGGGTCATGTCTTTACCTTTGCAACTCCTTTCATGGCCTGAGCACTGGACTGTTTCATTTACAGATTTAGAGATGGGGGTCTCTAACTATGTTCTGAAGATTCTCCTGCCTCAGTCTCCCGAGTAGCTGCGATTATAGACACACACCACCAAGCTCAAGCTCAGCACTGCGGCGTGTTCTAATGCAGGAACTCAGCGGCATCTCCAGGCGTGTAGATTCTGTTGCAGACAGTAGAGCTTCCACCCTTGAAGCTGGCCAGGTGCTATGTGCACAGTGAACTCAGCACAACCCTGCTCCGTGTTTTTGCATACGTTGGTCCGTCACAGCTTTAATCATGAGATTTCTTGTCTCACCGTGACTGTATTGATCCTCCTAGAGGATCAATAGTGCTGAATGTAGGAGGATAATTTGAAAACAATTTGGATTAGCCAGCCAGATCACTTTAGGAGTTCCCACATCCTAATGCTTTCTTTCCATGCCCTGAGTTACTGGTTAATTCCTAGCAGTGTCACCCCAGGAGGGGCCGTGTCTGGGTTAAAACCAGCAACCTCTGTCTGGGCACAGCAGGCCAAATCCACAGGCTGTGAGTTCCAAAGCGGGGGGGGGGGGGATTTCTAATCAGACTTTGAAATTTAACCTTTTCATCATTCCCTTATTACCAGGAAAGAGACTTTTGGAGACTGGCTCCCTTCCAGCTTGCCCCTCCCTCTCCTGAACCTGTAAAACCATACCCAGTTGTCTATTATCTGGAAAGTTGAAAAATGTGCCAATACTACTGCATCCCAGGGAATTCTTAGAAGCTGCTTGCAAAGCATTTCTTTAGTTCTGCCCTTTCCTTTACCATCAATATCAACAAAACATTACAGGGAGAAATGACTAAACCTGCTGCACCCTCAAATGTGTAAAACCCTTCAAGACAGGAAACCAAACTGTAAAGTGAAGACTGATTGGGTAACTGTCATGTGACCCAATTTAATTTCCTGGAAGCTCATGAGTTCCCTTGACTTCCTTTGTATTTTGTCTCCTATGTTTGAAGGATGTTTTTAAGAATTAGGATGATATGTCCATTTCATTTATAAAATAGTGCCTAGGCATTGCTTCTGATTGGCAAATGTCAAATAACAAATGGATTGTAACAACGGCTCTTGAAAAAAGGAATGAAAACAGAGCTAAGGTTTGCAAGTTCAAGGAAAGAAAAGCACTGTCAGAATGTTGAGTCTTGTCTCAGCCATTGCCGAATTCAGGCTGGTGGACCTATGGTGTGCCCAGCTCTATCAGTAAGGAAAACAGCCACACAACAGAAATTTCATCATATGCAAAAAAGCTTTGAAAACCATTGTCCATTGAATCATATTGGATCATGCCCTAGTCTAGACCTTGAATACTCCTCATAGTCTTGATACCCAACCTCTGGCACTATGATGAAGTAATGGAATCTTTAGGAGGCGGAGCCTAGTGGGAAGGAGTTAGGTTATTGAGTTGTATTTTTAAATCAGGGGACAGGCTGGTACTGGGGCTTGAACTCACAGTATAGGCACTGTCCCTTAACTTTCTTGTCCAGGTGGTAGAGCTTTACCACCTGAGACATACATAGCTCCACTTCCAGCTCTTTGGTGGTGAATTGGAGACTTAAACTTTCCTGCCCAGGTTGGTTTTGAACTATGATCCTCAGATCTTAGCCTCTTGAGTAGCTAGTATTACAGGCATGAGCCACTGGCGCATGGGAACACAAATATTGTTAACAAGGTTTCAATCTACAATGGAGTTCCCAAGACTCTTACCATTAGTGTACTCTGAGGGAAGATTAAATTTTAGTTTATGTGGAACTTTATCAAGAACCTGATCAGCTTTGGGACAACTGGGTCATCAGTGCAAATATTACTTATTATATTTGATATGACAGCAAAGCATGAGGTGTCTCCGCCTGGGAAAGTTGGCTTGCTTTCTTCTTCAAACTATAAAATATTCTACTGAAGACATGCTCTAGTAGTTAAAATATTATTTTTATTACAAGGTATATTGTTTTTTAAATCATGTATGTAAGTAGTTCACATTGCCTATGAATTTTATTTCAAGAAAGGAAGAAGGGTATTACAGTGAGTTTAAAATCTGAAAGGTAGTAGGAAGCCAGACATGAAAGATCACACACTGTATGCTTCCATTGACATGAATGGGAGAGTAGGTAATGCTGTGGAGGTAGAAAGTAGCTTAATTGTGGCCCAGGGCTGGTGTCTGCATTCTGAAATAAGGGATCAGGAGGACCTGGGTGCTGCTGGCTCACACCTTTGTAATCCTTTCTTCTCAGGAGGCTGAGATGTGAAGATTGAAGTTTGAAGCCAGCTTGGGCAGACAAATATGAGGCCACTTCATTCCAATTATCCAGAAAAATCAAAGCCAGAAGTGGAGGTATGGCTCAAGTGGTACTACACCAGCTTTGAATGGAAAAGCCGAGAGCACGAGGCCCTGAGTTCAAACTCGGTACTGGTATATGCACATACACACAGACACACAGACAAAGACAAAGACACACACACAGACACACACACACACACACACACACACACTATTACTATACCAGAAAAGAACCATTTCTCCATTTAGTTCTCAGTTAAAGAGTATAATGATTAACTAACTCGGTTTGGCTTGTCCTAAATGAAGGACTTTATATTATTGAGAGGCCCTTCTAGCTAAAGGGACTCAATTAAGTCTATCATCCATCACCCTCCTTTGGGCTGAGGCCCCAGAGTCTGGCCATAAAAGCAAAAGTGCATGAGGTGGCAACCCAGGAAGCAATTACAGATCATTCTGACCCTTGGCAAAGCGGCCAGGTCCCCTGCATGGTACCAAGAGATGGCACAGGGACCTGGTAGATTTTTGAGAAGAAGAATGAACCAATTTTTCTTACTTCTGTCCTGTTGGCCAGATACATGAAACATGAGTAGACAGAAAATCCGGTTTACTAGGTAGTCTCTCCTGTTGATGCCAAGCAGACAAAGGGCCGAGTGACCGGATCCTGTCAAGAAGAAACCCACTTCACATCCTCAATCCCCTCAGCAGGGCTGGCTGTGCTCACAGGAGCTGGCAGAGACCTTTTCTGGTTGTTACAACCTGCAGGGACAGCTCTATCCGCCTGACACGTGTCCATGTAGCAGGACTTTATATACTAGTGTAAGTAAAATCTAAAGTGCTTTGTAACCAGAAATAACACTAGTGCTAGGAAGGCAGCCACAGAAATGTTGAAGCAAATCCATGCATTTATTATGCACACTGCAGATTGCTAACTAACACCTCCCACCCTGTCCTCCTCCCTACAGAGCTACGAGAAGGGGCTAGAACCAGAGCCTCGGTGGGATCCCAGGAAGCACCAAGAGACTATTTTCAGATCACACACACACACACACACACACACACACACACACACACACGTGCACTTTGTTAAAAAAAAAATCAGTGTCTTTCTTTCTTCTATAGCCAGAGGCTTTGGAAGTGCACCACGAGGGAAAACAAATGCAAGAGGTTCACTGTTAACTACCAGGAATGTAGCATGTCTACTCATGGGATTATTTTTCAAAAAAGTCAGAAGTTATTTCTTTCATTCTTTAACATTCCACAATCTAGAAAACAATGAGGTTTAAAGTAAAGACCACATC